GCAGGGAGTCTGCTTCTCCCTCTGACCCTCCTCCCTCTCATGCTCTCTGTCTCTCATTCTCTCTCTCGCAAATAAATAAAATCTTAAAAAAAAGATGGAAAGTTAGGTCATTGATTTGAGATCTTGGTTCATTTGAATGCAGACACTTATGGCAATATTTCTCTCTGGTGACTGCTTTTGCTATATCCCATTAGTTTTGGTATATCATGTCTTCCTTTTTATCAGTCTCCAAGTAATTCCTAGTGCCCTTTTGATTTCTTCTTTGAACCATTGCTATATAGGAGTGTATTGTTTAATTTCCCCATATTTGTGAATTTCCTAATGTTCTTTGTGTTCTTGATTTCTAATTTTATTCCATTGTGGTTGAAGGGCATACTGTGTATTATTTGCATCCTAACAACAATTTCTTAAATGACAGTTAATTAAAGTAGCATATTATGGTCTGGTTTATCCAAAAAGGCTCTGGTCCAAAAGATAAAAGGCTAAGAGGTCCAGGAATGTCCTCCTGTTCCTTTGGTCACTCCAGAGATGTCCAAGAGGCCACTGATTTCACTGCTGTAGTGGTGGCCCTTATGTATGACTTGCTGTGTCTTAGTCCTTGGCTTGAAAGTTGGAGGAAAGGTCATAGAGGGAATGACTCCTGGTTTGAAAGACTCCTGTTCTTTTACTCTTCTAATTGGTAGAGCAAATTATTATTGCTCCAAGTAAATTTTGCATTTTCACTGTGCTTTCCATTGTTCTTTTTCCTTACAGTACTCTTTCCATTCCTTACCCCAGTTTTTGAAATACTAAATATCTGTGTGTTTCCGAAGAGTGTTACTGATTTTTTCACAAAATCTGTAAAAAGGATGACGGAATGTCGCCTCAAAGATGAGCAAAAGGTAAATCCGTTGATGGTTACATGCAGTTTTTCACTTTTTGATAATTGAGCTGTATACATCTGATGTGTGCACTTCTATATATTTTTTAAGGTAGGTAGAGAACTGTAGTATTCAGATCAGGAGAGTTCTATCATTTTGGACAGAATGAAGAAGGTGGAGGTTAGGGAAGGAGATAAGAAAATGAACCAGAGAGACAACATTTAAAATTTAGTAGTAAGCATGGCAATTAGTATGTCACTGCATAAAATTTGGTGAGAGAAAAACTACCAATTTCCCTCAATAGATTGTCAAAGGATAAAAATCACTATGTAAAAATCATTCTCCAGGTAGTATAATTTTGCCAGAGATCCCTTCAATTCCAAGCCTTTACTTTACATATTCTCCAGTGAGGGTCCTATCAGACGCCTGGTGTTTAGTCTGTGTTAAATTTGAGCCTGTCATAGTCTGGAGTGGGCAGGAGACTGCAATAGGGCTAAGCCTGCTTTGCCTTCCTGAGGCCTGGCAGCCAGCACAAGGACGTGTGTAGGACAGAGATACAGGGCTGGGTACCCCAGGATGACACTGAAGATTCTGCAGAGTTCTGGGAGAGTGGGGCATTAGAAGATGCTGACACAGAAGCTGCCCATGGATTCTGCAGAGGTCAGGGGATTGGTCTATGTGGCCATTCATTAAGAATTAAGGCTGGAAAAACAAAAGGACTGAAGTCGGGCACTTTCTCCTGAGCTAGTAGGTATGACAGGAGAGGGAGCAGGCAACTCTTGGGCCAGTAAGCTGTGTTCAAAAGCCAGACAAGCTGAAGATCAGAGAGGGCAAGGACCAAAAATCAGTTGGACATGATGGCTGGATTCCTATCAGGGAAACATCCTGCTCTGCAAGTTTCATAACTGGATGTTTTTGTTCACTGATGACTCAGGCAACACCATTCAGACTTCTGGCCACAAAGGAGCTATATTCTCAGGAAAAAAGTTAGGTACTGCATCCCTGATTTATTTCTGACTTCACAAGTGACATTTTATCATTGAAACTTCTCTTTCTACTTCCAGCACCGATTGGATTTTCTCCAACTGATGATTAACTCCCAGAATTCTAAAGAAACAGACACCCATAAAGGTAAGCAAGGAGACTTCAGAGGGCCACAATGCGGAGGTTCAGAGGCAGGGGATGGTTCTGAGATGCAGAGGAAGATTTTTAGCAGATGGGATTTCTGCAAATTGAAGAAAGACACATGTTCAGCTACAAATGGTAGCCAGAACCACTTTCCAGAAGCATGCAGCCACAACTTTGTTCAGTACTTGAAGGGCAGCCCTAAACAAGGCAGTCAGTGGTCTGTGGATCACCTACATCAGAACTTCTGGGGAGCTTGCTTCCAATGTCAATTCTCTGGTCAAATCAGACCCTCTGAATCGGAACCTCTACCTGGAAATTTGCATCAAGTCTTCATCACATCAGGAGGCACTTGGCCCCAGTGTTGGTGACCTTCACTTGGAACGCTTGGTTAAACATGTGTTCACTGGCTTAATCTATTCCAATTTTTTTTTTCCTTTTGTAATTAAGAAGTAACTGGTGTAAGATTCCTCTGCGACTGTGTAAATACTGTGTTTTTCTTCAAATATTCATCTACTACTTTTATTGTCCATGGATGGTATTTAACTGAAACCATTATTACTATAATGGCTTCAAAATGGTGACTTTCTAATTCCATCAATTCTTCTACATTTATGGGAGATAGTCCATTATAAGGGAGCTTTACATTCTCTCATTAATTTATTTATGTCAATATGATCTCATATATTGCTAACTTAGTCTCTTAAATCATTCTTTTTTTTTTATGTTATGTTAGTCACCATACAGTACATCATTAGTTTTTGATGTAGTGTTCCATGATTCATTGTTTGCGTATACTTTTTATAGCAGTTTTAGGTTCACAGCAATATTGAGTGAAAGGCACAGAGATTTCCAATATTCCCCACCTACACAAAGCCACCCCCACTTTCAAAATCCCTCCCCATGTGGTAGTTTTGTTACAATCAGTGTACATACAATGACACATTATTACCATTTAAGTCCAGAGTTTAAATTAGGATTTATTCTTGATGTAGTTATTTCTATGGGTTTTGACAAATGTATAATGGTGTATATCCACCACTATAGTACATAGAGTCTCCTGTATCCTTTCCACAAATTATTTTATGACCACTTCCTTGCTTCTGACATAAGATATTCCAGGTCTCCCTTCTATTTCCTCTGATGAGCCTTGAAATCAGCCATTACTTCAAGGAGTTCTGTTTCCTTTTAGTGAGAATGGTATTTAGAAACGAAACTCTGGGATGCCTGGGTTGAGCATCTGACTCTTGGTTTCGACAAAGGTCATGATCTCATGGGTCTTGGGGTCAAGCCCCACATCCAGCTTTGTGCTCAGCAGGGAATCTGCTTGGAGATTCGCTCCCTCTGTCCCTACCCCCACTGGCATGCACAAGTGCATGCTTTCTCTTTCTCTAAAATGAATTTTTACAAAAAAAGAAACCAAAACCTGGGATCTAGGAGTGCTCGTTGCAGTTAGGGTTGCTTTTTTTCTAGATCCTCTCAGTGGGCCTGGCTAATCACATCAAATATTTACACAGAACTGATAAACCTAAATATTTCTTTATAGCTCCATAACCAATGGTGTAGACATCGTCTCTGTCTCCCAAATAAAAGCCTTGATTTATAGTTTCTTTCAATGACAGAAACATTCCCATCATGGTTAACTTCAACCTGTCAAGGTTTAACAGCCATCTCACAAAATTCCTATATATTTAACAACTGATTCCAGAGAAAAAGGACAGCCTTACTCCATTATATCACTAAAATATATCTATACCTATGTACACGTCTACCTCTATCTATCTGTGTTTGGTTCAAGAAATTTTTGTGATGTGATCTGCCCTGTTCTATAGTGACCACTGCACACATGTGGCTATTAAGCACTTGACATGTGGTTAGTGCCACTGAAGAGCTGAATCTTATATTGTATTTAATGTAATAAATTAAAATTTATATTTAAATAGCCACATCTGGCAAATGGCTACCATATTGAACAGTACAGATCTAAACTTTGAATGTCACTGGGTCCATGCTAAAGGAGGAAATGTTGGGTAGTTGAATTTATCCACAGTGAGGTCACTGAAAGTATCACTTGAAAATCTGAAATTTGTAGACCTTTCTTACACTTATGCTGTATTGTTTCTAGTTGTGAATTACATGTCTGTTTGCAGGTACCTTGTTCATTTCAGTGCTCCAAGTATCTAAAGGTCCTAATCCAGTTCCAATCAAATAGATTAGAGCCTGGGTGTGCTTATTTTCTGTCAGGAGAAAATCAAAGAGAGGCCAATTTATATTCAGGGTGGAGCCATTTGCTAAGGAAGGTGACATTCAGGATATGATTGAATGAGCATTGCTATATCCACTCACTGGATTCTGTTTGTCTATATTTCATGCTGGCCAGTCCCCTTCTGCTGACGCACTTTCTTATGCTCTTTTAATGACATTAATTACCCTAGTATCAGTCTCCCCTCTTCTAGCTTCCTGTCTGTGTTATAGTTTCTGTACATATCTGAGATCATCCACTTGAAGAGTAGTGCCCCAGGTCTTCTCTTACTAGATACTTAGTAATAGAAGGTATAATCCACACATCTCATCACATTTTGTGAAAGCTCAGATTTTGATTCCATAGTTCTAGGATGAAGTTTGAGATTCTGCATTTCTAATAAGCTCCCAGACGCTGTAGGTGCTGCTGGTCCATGGACCACACATTGAACAAGAGTTTATCTGGAGCCCAATATTGTTCTCTTAAGTTCCGCCAAAATGTTTAGATAAAAGATCATTGAATTTTCCTGACAATTAAGCCTTAGCATTGCAAACTCTCTCAAAAAAAAAAATTAAGCTGTGGAAGAATGTAAATTTTTCCTGGGGAAGAATACTAGCCTGTGTTACTTGTACTTTTAGGACTCTTCAGGGACAGACTGGTAACACTGTGTATGTGAGACAGAAATGCCATCTCCTGAAATGACCCACCTGTGTTGGTGGGGAGGGTGGCATAAGCAGGAGCAGATGGCCAAAAATAGTATAGATCTTGGGAATAAGCAGATCAACACAACTTTTGCCTCTTTCTGGCTCTGTAGGTTAGACATCAGACTACAAACCACTCCTTGTCTGATTCTGAATTGCTTTTACATATTTTCCCCAAGGGATTTAGGAGTTTCATTTGGATTTCTTGTCATCTAAACTGTGATGTTTTGCATTCACCAGCTTTAGCTAAAATGTCTTTTTTCTCCTCTCAGCTCTGTCTGATCTGGAGCTCGTGGCCCAATCTATGACCTTTCTTTTTGCTGGCTACGAGCCCACTAGCACTGCTCTTTCCTTCTTTGCATATGCATTGGCCACTCACCCTGATGTCCAGCAGAAACTGCAGGAGGAGATTGATGCGACTTTCCCCAATCAGGTGAGCAGGTCATACCTGAGGACAAAGGTCAGGATGAGCTCTGTTATGCCTTAGTAACAGATTAGTCCTCAAATCTAGTGGGTTTACATAGCAAAACTTTACTTCTGACTCACATCCGCATGTCCAAGATGGGTATTAGTTGAGGATGGGAGTCTCTGCTCTACATACATATTCGGTGATACAGGGTAAAATGGCTCTGCTTTCTTATACCTGCATTATCTAGAATGTGAGGACTTTATGTTGGCCAGGGAATAAAGAACTAGAGTGTTGCTCACTTGCTTTTCCAGTATTTGGCCCCGAACTGACATACAGCTCTTCAGATCATACCCCATTTGCAAAGTAGTTTCCCCTAAGTTCAGGTGGGCTGGGAACGATGGGGGCCCACATGGATCCTGGTGAGTAGTGAGTGTCTCTGCCACATACCCTATGAAGGGTCGACTCTAATTATCTCAGTGTAACAAGTCAGAAACTGAACTACAGAGACATAACTTTCTTTCACTATCACATACCTAGTGGTGAAAAAGCCAAGCTATGAACCAGGATGCCTGGATCCTGATGGAACTCGTAATCTCTACGGTGTTGGCTCTTAAATATAACACCAAGTGATAGACACAATTGCCCACAGTTTTCAGACCTGCGCAAACTGGAATTCTCTGCTTATGAAAACACCTGGCCTCTGGGGCTGGAGTGGCTTATTTGGTTTATTGTTAACCTTGAAGCAACAACTATGAGACCCTTCCAGCAACAGAGGGTGGGGTTAAGGATAGGGTTCTTATTCCCTTTACCTCTTTCCCTAGAACTGAAATTGTGTACCATGGTACCATCTAATCTTAATCTTATTTTCTTATATTTGTGTTAGAGAAGAACTAGTTTCTCCCCAAATTATTTATAGAATTTTTACATAATATAGTGCTTCTCTCCAAACTTTATATATATCATTGAAAACTAGGAAGCAGGATATTTCAACTAGAAGACTTTACGTGGAATAGAGGATTTTTTTCTGTTGCCTTTTCTCTTTCCTTGGTACAGATGTGTGGGCCCTCTTTTGAAAGGAAACAGTGACTTCAGCTTATTCCAAGTAAGAGTAAGGGTTATAGGCTTTTAGTCACTTTTGTTTATACAAGGAAGAATAACCACTACATGGTGGTGAGAGGGATTTCAGGCCCTGTTTAGGGGGTTGTCCCTGCAGTCTTCCCTTGTCATTACTATTGCACACATGTCAGTGGGCCATTGAGCAGGTCAAAGGACATGGTAGAGATTAAAATGCACTTAAATGCTAAGATCCTTTACCGAAATAAATGACTGAAGTGATTCCTGACACTTCCGTAGTAGTGCTGAGAATGAGTTGAAATTGATCCCAATGTATCAAAATCTGTTTCCTTCCAGGCCCTGCCCACTTACAATGACCTTGTACAGATGGAGTATCTGGACATGGTGTTGAATGAAAGTCTCAGATTATACCCAGTCACTGGTAGACTTGAGAGGATATGTAAGAAAGATGTGGAAATCAGTGGTGTGTTCATTCCCAAAGGGACAGTGGTGATGGTGCCGGTCTTTACTCTTCACCGAGACCTGGATCTCTGGCCAGAGCCTGAGGAGTTCCGTCCTGAAAGGTACAGGGAACCCTGGAAAGGGGAACCCACCCTCATGTTGAAGGATATTCTGATATTTCCTTAGTATAGATGACAAGCATGTGGTTGTACAATTACTTACTTGGATATCTTTTTGCTCTTAGAAGTTTTTTTCTTATTACAAAATTATCATTCCTTGTTGTCAATATTTTATACACTATTGACTAAAAATAAAGAAAATTATAGTCATCTACAGACCCAATATGTTAAGATTATCAATAATGTCATGTATCTCCTTATGGACATTTTTCTGTGTATATGTAACTAAAAATTAGAATGGTATTATAATTTTTGGTTTTGAACTGCTTACTTAATGTAACATTAGACTACAAACAACATGCTATATTTCTGTGTGTGATTATATGTATATGACTTATTTTTTTTAACTTATCATCTTTCAGTAAATAGGTCTTTTTTCCTTTTAAGTTTTTCTGTCCTCTCTAGCTCTCTGAATTCACCCCCTAGCCCCCACATTCCATGTTTGTAAACCTTGGCCACCGTTTCTGTTAGCCTTAGCATGAGAGCAGATGCTGTGGACCTGAGTCCTCATCCCTGGCAGGAGGAGCAGCCTCAGGAGGACAGGAGCACACAAAGGTCCCATGCTATATGTGGCTGCAGTCCTGTACGAGCTCCCACCTCTGTTGGTATCTGGGGTTCATCATAAGAAAGTCATCTGCTCTCTAGCCATCTGAGACATCCTCCTTAGAGGGGTCTTGAGCTTTCTCTTCCGGGAATTCAGAGCAGAGTCTGGCTTTGGGCAAAGCCTGAATTCTGCAAAGAGTTGGTGCTTTCCTGTTTATTGTATTGGTGAACAAAATTTGGAGTGAACTTTTCAGAGATCTAGACTTCTAGCCCCTGACTCTAAGCTCCCTTATGGCAGAGGCCTTATCTTGTTGAATGGTGTCCCTAGTGCTAGAATCACATTTACGCATAGTACTTGCTGAAAGAAGTCAGAATTGACCAAGTAGTCCATTTTTTGGACCAGGAGTCCTGGTGGTTCCCACAAGCTCAGCAGTTCCCAGGCCTATAGCTTCTTCAACAGAAACCAGAGACCATTCCCGGTACTTCTCTGTGATTCATTCAGTCATGAGAGGAAGTGCTTATCTATGTGTGTCAGGGACTGGGCCAGGGAGTAAGAAATCCACATGTTAAAAATGGCTGTTATGGAGAATTTCTGACACATCACAAGCCCCCAAAAGTGTCCTGTGTAGTTCTGGTGAGAATCCCAAACATGTAGCCCTTACGGTTTTTATGTTTCACTAATGTATTCCCAACTTGTATTGTGGAACCAGGTTCAGTAAGAAGAACAAGGACAGCATAAATCCTTATATATACCTACCTTTTGGAACTGGACCCCGAAACTGCATTGGAATGAGGTTTGCGATCATGAACATGAAACTTGCCCTGGTCAGAGTCCTGCAGAACTTCTCCTTCAAACCTTGTAAAGAAACACAGGTCAGAGAGATTACTTTCTGCATAAATAGTGTTTTATTGCTTTTTTCAAACTAAGAGATAAGTAATGGATATGTGTGTTGGGGGGGCTCATTTATCCTTAATAATTTGTTCTATCAGCCAAGAGAATCTATTTGGAGTCATGTGTGACCATTCTTCAGCTCTTGAGTGCCATGTCTGTGGCTTATGACCACTCAACCATGAGGGTAGGTAGTCAGTTAGTTAGCTTGACATGATTAACACAGACCTTTGAACTTGAGCAATGTTTTAAATTTCTTTCAAGTCCACTGAAAGGGAGGAAACATGTTGTGCATAGTCTTGACGTGCAGTGATTATCATGACATGACTTTTGAAGGATGCTCTTCTCCACCACAACTTACAGAAGCTCTCATGACCATGGTTCTCAACCCGTTTGTACATTAGAATCAGTGGGTTCTTTTGAAAATCCTGACTGAAGAACACCTGGGACACACAGAGGGGAGATTATTCCCTCTTCTAGGAGTGCGTCCCTGAGAGGCAGTGTTCACAGAGATGCCTCTCCAGGAACAAATGAGCTGGCTGGCACCTTTTACTCCCCCGCCCCTCAGCACAAACACAGAGTCACCTGTAGGAGGCAGCACACTGCCTATACTGGCTGCCTAACTTGCTTACACCAAGCCCCACCTCCCTGTGCTCTGGTGGGACTGCCCTTCTCAGTCAGGCTTGCCTCCCAGCATAGCAGACCCCTTCCCCAGAAGACTAGCACAAACCCCTCCCCACACCATGTCTCCTGACCAGAGAGTTCTACAGGCCTCAGTTCTGGTGAAGGTGGTGTCAGGTCTCATTTCATAAGCAGACCAGAGCACACCTAGTTAAAACTCGCCACATTCAGGCCAGGGACCAAACATTGCCCACAGCAAGCAAGGAGAGCCTCTGCAGACAACTGGCCTGAAGGATAGAGCAGCCAAAACACAACAGCAGAGCACATGCACCACACACCAATGACTCTGTGAAGCTCCAGGCCCTGGGTGCTACATGACCTCAATTCATAAAGCCATTACTTTCAGGAGCAGGAGACATAACTGGCTTTTCTAACACAGAGAAGAAGGCAGAGACTTAGACAAAATACCAAGATGGAGGAATTTATCCCAAATGAAAGATCAAGATAAGGCCACAGCCAGAGATTTAAGCAAAACAGATATAAGTAACAGGCCTAATGGAGAATTTAAAGCAACAATCATAAGAAAACTCACTGGGCTTGAGAAAAGAATAGAGACATCAGTGAGACCCTTACCACAGAGATAAAAAAGTTAAAAAAGAATCAATCAGAGATGAAGAATGCAATAAATATGATTGAAAACAGGCTTGATGCAGTGAATAGCAGCTGGAGGAATCAGAGGAATGAATTAGTGACCTAGAAGATAATGGAAATAACAGAAAATAATGAAGCTGAACGAAAGAGACAAAGAAGAATTATGCAACATGAATAGATTTAGGGAACTCTGTGACTCCATCAAACATAATAACATTTGTATTATATGAATCCCAGAAGAAGAGAGAGAAAAGGGGACAGAAAATTTATTTGAAGAAATAATATCTGAAAACTTCCCTACTCTGGGGAAGGAAACAAACATCCCGATTCCAGGAGGCACAGATAACTCCACCAAAATCAACAAAATCAGGCCAACACCAAGACATGTAATTAAATTTGCAAAATAGGATTGCCTGACTGGCTCAGTCAGTAGGGCATGCAACTCTAGATCTCAGAGCATGAGTTCAAGCCCCACATTGGGCATGGAGCCTACTTAAAATTTAAAAAAATAATAATAATA